GCAAGCGCAATGAATGAATCATTCGACGAGCTAACAGTTTCAGGACAAATGCCATCAGCTGTGAGACACATTCCTTTTTTTTCATGAATACGCAAAGCTTGCGTATCATTCATTGCTAGGGAGAAGATTGGTAGTACAAGAGAAATGGGTGGGGGACGCTAGAGAGCTGCGTGCACATGGATGGCGCAGGAACTAGCGTGAGCACGATGGAACATGGGTTTGCTCAGCCCCCAAAAAATAGAAGAGGCTACGGCGCGATCGTAGCCAGGCCCTTTGCGCCGGCTCGCTTCAAGAGTTCTACCACAAACAGAAGAGCCCATACGCAAAGCTGTGAGACACATTCCTACTATTAAGCTGATCTGATACAAGTTTTACCACCAAGTGCTTCAACCCAAGCACTGTACGCCTAGTCTAATATTATGGTGCGGAGACACGAGAGTCTTGTAACGCGCGGGACACCAATCTTGAACTTGTACCTGAAATGAAGTACCAGGGCCAGAAAAGGGGAAAAGGAGCACTTCTAGAATTGTGCTCATATGAACAGTTGCGAATTTATGGTAAGAGAACAGTTTAACATGGATGTGGTCTGCATAATTTTCTAATTGGTAGATTTTCAGAACCTTAATGTAGGATCCCAACTTCAAATTAGTCCAGGTAACCAGAAAAAAGGAAAACAAAAAATTATCTCTAAAATAATGCAGACATGAACATTTTGAGGAACCCCACGACGGGGTTTCCTAGGCCGTTGACTTTTGGCCAGTGGCGGCCAATGTATCTGACCTTGAGAATGGGGAGTTGACACTCCCATTCTTGCTAGAGGGGGGGAGGGGACAATCGTTACCATAAGGGCGGTTTTGGCGCCTGGCTCTGATGACCTTCCGGTTGCCTTCTTTCAGAAGTTTTGGCCTCAACTTCAGTCGGTGATCATGCCGATGTTCCATGAATTTTACTGGGACTCTTGACATGGGGCGCCTGAACTTTGTATTAGTATGGTAGCGTGAAGCCAATCCTATTGGGGAACGCAATATTTTCAAAAAAATTCCTACGGTCACGCAAGATCTATCTAGGAGAAGCATAGCAATGAGAGGGGAGAGTGTGTCCACGTACCCTCGTAGACCGAAAGCGGAAGCGCTTTATCAACGCGGTTGATGTAGTCGTACGTCTTCATGATCCGACCGATCCTAGCACCGAACGTACGGCACCTCCGTGTTCAGCACACGTTCAACTCGACAATGTCCCTTGTACTCTTGATCCAATTGAGGCCGAAGGAGAGTATCTCAGCATGACGGCATGGTGATGGTGATGATGAAGTTACCGGCGCAGTGCTTCGCCTAAGCACTACGACGATATGACCGAGGTGTGTAACTGTGAAGGGGGGCACCGCACACGGCTAAAAGATCAACTTGTGTGTCTTTGGGGTGCCCCCCCTCCCACATATATAAAGGGGGGAGGG